AGGGCATTGCTTCCGCTCGTAAGAGGTCTTTCCGATCGAGATGTTTGCAAAAGTAAGCCTACAACTAGGCAGCCAATAGTTGGGCCCCGTTCCAAATATCTGAAGCTATTTATTTTATAGAGGGGCATCTTCAAATGATCCATTACCTAGAAAGAGTGGAGACATTAGCCCAGAGTGAGGGTCACAGATTTAAGAATGGCAAGAAAAGGAAAGCATTTTTAATCCAGAGATTGAGCAATTACCAACGAGCTAATTCGTTCAGAACTCTATTAACTCCTTCTATAGATAAGGCAGATGACAATCTCTGCTTTAAAAGCTTGCACACTGCTCGAGCGACCAGTTAGCAGTAGGCTAGCAAAAGTCCGACGATTTTTCTTCCCGATCCATAATTTTGATCTCTTCAAAACCACTTCAACTAGGACTCCAAATCACGCAAACCTAGACTGAATTTGGGTCACAAACCTAATAAAAATGATGGTGGATTAAAATAGAGATGGAAATGGATCCATATATTTCACAATTAAATCAGAAAATCACGGTCCATTGAAAATAAATATTCCGCTCAAAAGCTTCCCATCGAAAACACAAAAAAAGAAAAAGAAAAATTAAAACAATAGCACTGAATTCAGTGATACTTTAATCTTATGGATAAAGATCCTTTTTTGTATTTTATATAAGAATAAAACCCACCTGTACTTATATAATTCGCTTTTTTGGTAGTATAACGTAAAAGAAAAACTTATGATTGAGTTCTTAGTTAAATAAGACATAATTTTTTAACTAAATCAAAAGTTCTTATTAGATTACTTTAAATTATTTTCTTCTCATAGAAAAAAAATTGAATCATTCCTTACAATTCAGACATTTCGAGCCCATGGAAAAGGAAAATTTTCAACAAATACCTTACGTGTGGGGGTTATAATTTTTTTTTTTTTTTTTTTTTTTCTTTTTTTTTTTTTTTTTGGCCAATAATCATCTTATTATTTGTGGGGCACAGCATTAGCAAGAAGTAATTATGATTTTAACTATTACTCAAAAATAGTAATAATGATATCGATCATACATTATTGATTAATCATTTTGTGGGACATGTTGCTCTACGTGTTAGAACATCAATTGGAATATCCCTTTATAGTGAAAATTTAGTGAATACGTGTTGGACTGATTGTATTTTAATTTTTATATCATGTGGTAATTGCAAGGATTTCCCTTTTTTCTTAGTAGTTTCCTTCTGTCACTAAAGGAAGAATAATTCTATTCATAAGAAGCGATTACAGTAGTCATCCTATGTGTTAGCTTGTTATTCAATGCATTTATTTTTGTAATCCTACTGTCTTAAACGACAAGTCAATATCTCAAATAACAAGCCGTCATATAGAATAATTACTGTAATCGTTCGTTATGAGTAAAATTACAACACATGACCGAGGAAATCATACTCGTACAATGTCCATCTGCATGATAACGTCCATTTTCTTCTTACTTTAGAACATATATACACCAGTTAAAACATGCATATCAATCCAATTCATACCCTACTATCTGACAATGTCAAGTTGATCCCTCTTTCTCTCTCTTGATGAAGAAAAAAAATTTATTACAACTCACGGGCAAGCTCTTTCAGATTTTTTAATGTTCAAAAAAGAGTATCCACAAAACCTATATTTATATATAGAACAAGCCAAACAAGAGCATAAAAACATCTTGACACACCTCAGTACAAGTTGTGGTGGAGATCCATTTTCTTTCACCCAAAAACAGCGACAAAATTCAAATTAATATATTCTACACTTATTGTTATCTGTTCAGTCTTTTCACTGGAAGGAAGAAAGAATTTGCCGGCTGGAAGTAAGGAAATTAACTGCAACTCTGCATGCTAAAGAATTGAATCTATACGCATCAAACTCTGGATTCATGCTTGCTGTGTCACCTTTGAGGAACACCAACAATGAAAGGGAAAGTGAGATGGAGGCTTTCTCCATGGGAGGTGATGAATTCCCTGATATTTCCAGTGGGAGTTTACTTGACAGTATTGATTTTGATGATCTTTTTGTTGGGATCAACGATGGAGATTTGTTGCCTGATCTGGAGATGGACCCTGAAATTCTTGCTGAATTTTCACTTAGTAGTGGGGAAGAATCGGAGATTAATACATCAACTCCTGTATCAGTGTCAGTTGAGAAAGTAGATGAGGGTGGGGTCGAAAAATCAGCCTCGGATACTGGTTCGGAGTCGAGCTTGATTATTGAAAAGGAATCTGTGAGTAAGAGAGAAGAATCAGCTGTAGTTAATCAATCTCACAAGGAAGCTGATAAACGAGGAAAATCCTCGGCACAATCGAAAAATCAACCGGGCAAGAGGAAGGTGAAGGTAGTTAAGAATACTATATCCAATAGTTTTAGGGTTAGGTTTTATGTGTCAATTTACTAAAGTCACTTTTTGCATCAATAGCTAAATGGAATTTAAATCTCTTTCATACTTATAGTTTTCACAAGCTTCATGGGAAGAAACCCTCACGAGAATCAGCTTTTACCTAACCCAGTCCTCAAGGGTGGATTCAATTTTCTAGGTTTGGTGAAAATTGGATAAATAGATCATTGTAATTCTTCCGATGTCATTTTAAGTACCTTTTTGTGAGTGATAGACAAAGTTTATGGCTTTTTATATGTATATGAATTTAGCTCGTATTTCAAGAAAAGATGAAGTGTTTTCTTGAACGGCGTGTAGGTGGATTGGACACCAGAGCTACACAGGCGTTTTGTGCAAGCAGTGGAGCAACTGGGTGTGGATAAGGCTGTGCCTTCAAGGATTTTGGAGCTTATGGGGATTGATTGTCTCACTCGCCATAACATTGCCAGCCATCTTCAGGTATTCATGTGAATCTACATACTTTAATTTCCTCTCATGTTTATGCTTAAGATTTGTTCGTTTCTTATTCTTCTTATTTTCGGTTTTCTTTTGCATATGGTATTGAAAGTCTTCATCAAATCGATATCGCTTTTGTTGAAGGGCTAGATCTAATTATAGGGCATGGTGATTATGCATAAATTAGCTCTATTTTGCATTGAAATTTTTAACAATTTTCAACACATCTATACAGTATCCAAGAATTGAAATGTACCAGACGTTGAAATAACATAGAGAAGTTTGGCATTGTATGTTACATTTCTTGTCCTTTTAACTATTTGTCTCGAAGTGGAAAGGTAATTGGCTCAATGAAAACTTGTCCAATTTCATCTCATAATAACATAATTATTTTCAAGATTGAATATTCTAAGGCCATGTTTGAGCCACATTCTTTTCAAAAAATACATTTTTTTAAAGAGTGATTTGACATCATTTCAATCACATATTCTTCAATAAAATAATATTACATGTAAATTCAAAACTTTTCCTCATTTTAATTACACATTCTACATCAATCTCTTATTCCAAAATATATTCTTTCAAAATAATGTGGCTCAAACACACTTAGAAAAAATAGATGTCACCTGATATTTGAAAATTTGTGCTTCACTTGTACTGGTAATGTCAAAACTCCCACAAATCAAGAATGTGGTATGTGGATTCTCTCAAATGAAGAAATAAAATTTTGACATATGATAAGTGGGATTAGTTCAAATAGCCACTTTATCATGTATAATAATGCCGGATTCCAATTATTTTAGAACAATTAATTGAACAAAAACAGTCTTGATTGCATAAGCTGAAAGTAATTTTCTTTGAATTACGCAGAAATATCGATCACATCGGAAACATTTGTTGGCTCGAGAAGCGGAAGCGGCAAGTTGGAGCCAGAGGCGGCAAATGTACGGAACCACCGCCGGCAGAGTCGGGAAGAGAGATGTGAACCCTTGGCTTGCACCCACCATGGGATTCCCTCCAATTACACCAACGCCACATTTTAGACCTTTGCATGTATGGGGTCACCCCTCGGTCGACCATTCCATGATGAACACGTGGCCTAAACATTTAGGACCTTCGCCTCCGCCTCCAACCCCACTGCCAGCTTGGGTACCAGTTCAACCACCTCATGCACCGCTGCCGCCAGCTGCAGACCCTTTTTGGCATTCCCACCACCATCGTGTAAGTGCATAAGACACACAGATCTTCGAATTAAGTAATAATAGCATGACACTTATAATAAATTTTTTTACTAACAAGTAGGAAACTTATGAGAAGTTACAATGCCCATCACGGATAGTGCACCTACACACCTTCATCGCCCTCTATAATGGCATTTTATTTTATTTATTGTCTTTATGTGTAGATTCCAACACCAGGAACGCCTTGTTTTCCACCACATATGCGACCTGCGGTAATAATTCAATCTTTAGTACTCTTTTGTAGTGTTTTTCATCTGCACTTGGTTTTGGAGTTTACTAACTACAATGAATTAATGATAGCAGAGATTTCCGAGTACACCGGTCCCCGGCATCCCACCACCTGCAATGTACAAAATAGACCCCGGTGTAGGTGTCCCGCCTGTACCCTCTGGACAAATACTGCATCAGCTTCCGTTGGATTTTCACCCTGTGAGGCTTCTTTCCCTTTGTTTCCATTGGATTCTTAAAGTGAATCATTAGGTGATTTATATTATGAATTTTCTTATTAATTTTTTTCACTTGAATTTTGTAACAGTCAAAGGAGAGTATAGATGCAGCCATTGGAGATGCTTTATCAAAGCCATGGCTGCCACTTCCACTTGGATTGAAGCCTCCATCCACTGATAGTGTTATGGTGGAACTGCAACATCAAGGAATATCAAAAATACCTCCATCTTGTGCTTGAATTCTCCATCGGCTTCAGTTTGGAGTTTTTTCAAGCCAAAGACATATATATCAAACCCCTCAATTTGACGACATTTCCAGCACAAATCAGTGAAACTAATCGTTTAATTTTTCTAGGTTTTTTTCCCCTTTTTTTGTGTACTGTTCTTGCTTTCTTGTATGCAAGAACAATGCATATTATCAAACATGGGACATTAATTTTTGTAATGCTAATTATCATATGTATGAGAGTGTTTTCATGGCAGGAACCTTGAATCCTTGCTAATTGTAACCTCTGCCTTTTCAGATGTCCCTTCACGATATTCATGGTACCATTGCATTCATAGTTACAAGAGTGGATTCTGACTATATATTAACTCGGCCAAATCACCGATTATCAAGTTCACGAATACTTTAAACCATGTACACGAGAACTAAGTACAAAATTATAAGATATTTCATTTGACAATGTAGAGATTGATCTTACAGACCAACTTCTGATTATTGAAGAATTACAAGCCTTGAGAAGCATCAAAATAATATAATTTTGTTATGAAAAGAGAGAAAAAGAGAAGAGGAATATAAGTCAATCAACTTGTGTGTATTTTATTAAGAATTAAAATCCTAGATTTATAGGTAAGAATCAAGGATACAACAATAATAATTTTTAAGGCTGAAGGAGTAAAATTGTCATTTATTAATAAACTTAACACTTACAACATTCCCCTTGAATGATACATTACAAAATATTTGTCTCCTTAGAACCTTATTTGATAAAAATTTAATGGGACAAAAAAATCAAACGAATGAAAAAAAATATAGTTATTTTTGGAGTATTAAAAATAAATGCTGCCTCATTAAAACCTTACTAGAAAAATTCAGTAAGATAAAATCTAAACGAAAGAAAAAGAGTACAACTACTCTCTTGGATGTTGATCACTGAAAATCTTTGAGTCGACGTATTCCAATCTCATGAATAAAATTTTTTATTGTAGATGTCGACAATAATTTTGTGAATAAATCGGTAATATTGTCACTTGAGTGAATTTGTTGGATATCGAAGTCACCATTCTTTTAAAACTAATATGCATAAAAGAATTTTGAAGAAATATTCATCATCTTGTCAAATCAATAAGATAACCTGTATCAATATATAAAATAATCTCAAATCAATAGTACCTTTCAAATAACGAAAAGTATGTTTAACATTATTCCAATGTTTTTTGAGTTGGTGTACAGCTATATTTTGCAAGGATATTTACAAAAAAAAAAAAAAAAACCTTGTTGGATCGAGTGCAGTTTCCAAGTTAATTTTCCAATTGTAATAAGATATGGTACTTTAGGACCAAGAAACTTTTATCCATCTTTAAGGGGATGAAATGAATTTTTTCACATCAATTGATCGAACAACCATATGTAATGCCAATTGATGTGCATTATCCATATAAAAATATTTTAAACTTTTTCTTTTATATAGATTGACGAACAAATAATCCTTCCGCGAATTGTTCAATCTGCAACTCGAGACAAAATATAATTTTTCCCAAATCTTTTATCTCAAATTTATTTTTCAAATAATTTGCAATTTTGTTGAGCGCTTTAAGTATTCAAATTAAATTTAAATTATCAACGTAAACTGTTACAAAAAAAATATTTACTAAAGCGATTATACCCTATGCGTTCAGATTGTTTCAATCTATATAATGATCTTTGTAATGTAGTTGGAAATATAGGAATTTTTATATGTATGTCACTATCAACTGAACCATACGAATAAGTAATTACTACTTCCATAAAGCAGATACCGAGCCTTTAAAACACGGTCAAACAAATTAAAAGTCTAAAAGTAATGGTGTCCGTTACGGGAGAATATATTTCGTCATAATCAATTTCAAGTTTTTGTGAGAAGCCTTGAGCTATGAATCGAGCTTTATATCTTATAATTTCATTATTTTCAGTTCTCTTTCGTACAAAAATTTATTTGTATCCTACAGGTATTACATTTTCAGGTGTTCAAACTATAATTCCAAATACTTTTCGTTTATCTAAGAAATTCAATTCCGCCAAAATAGCTTCTTTCCACTTTGGTCAATCATTTTTACATTAGCAGTCTTTAACACACTATGGTTGAGGATCCTCATTTGGCATAATATTAAGAGCCAAGTTAAATGCGAAAACATTGTTTATAACAATATCATTTCGTTCCCATAATTTTTAAGATAACATGTAATTTATTGAATCTTATTATTTTCGGACGCTTGTAATTCTTCAGGAACCATATTTTTAATATTTGATTGATCAATCTTGTCTAATGTTTTTTACCCCTTTTTTGAGGTATAGAGTCTTTTGAATCGACTGATCGACTACACTTCTGACATATTTTAGATTCATTTGCTATAGCAGATTATCCTTCGAGTACATCAATTTTTGCTAGAATATTTTCTGCTAGTATATATGACGTTGTCATCTTTCTTGTGTCAACAAAAATATTAGGTAATTGATTTGCAATTTTTTGCAAATGAATGATTTTTTCGATCTTTTGTTCACATTGATTACTATGTGGATCAAAATGAGATAGAGCTATTTCATTTCAATAAATTTTATCTAGTTTTTCAGAATTCAGTTTTTTCACTCCTAAGATTGAAAAAGGCATTTCATCAAAATAACAATCTGCAAAACGTACGGTAAATAAATCACTCGTTAAAGATTTAAGATGCCTAATAATAAATGGTAAACCAAAATTCATGTAAATCCCAAATCTTCATTGGAAACCAATTTTAGTACGTTGTGGGGGTGAAATACGGATTTCGACAGCACAATCAAAAGCTCGTAGTGAGAAATATTTGATTTATGACCAAATTCAACTGTAGAGATAAATATTGATAATAGACAATTGGTCTGATACGAACCAATGACACAACATATAATAAGGCATGACCCTAAGTAGATGTTGAGAGTTTTATTTTCATAAGTATTAGTCTATCAATAAATTGTAGACATTTAATAAATGATTTCGTTAAACCATTTTGTGTATGGATTTGCGCAACTGAATGCTCAACAACAATCCCAATTGACATACAATAATCATCAAACGCTTGTAGTCAAAATTAACCAACATTGTTGATGCTAAGACACAAGATATCAATCCCACATATTGTGCAACGTAATATGCAGACTATAATTGTTAAGGTACAGGAAATGGCTGATATCTTGACTGTGCATAATGTCTTGGTTGTAATGGCTGACATTTAGGCTGTAATATTGTCCTGTAATCTTGTCTATCCTTCTGTATGTAACTGTAAAGTTATTATATATACATCGGCAATATACACAGTTTTGGTATCCTGCCAAAACAACTTTTAGCATTTGTTTATCTTTCATGGTATTAGAGCTATAGAGCTTACGCTAAACAATTCTATTTCCGCTTTATTAACATGGCTAAGTTTGCTTCTTCCTCCTCATCCAATTTTTCATTCACCAATCCCACGCAACTTGTCTCGATCAAACTTGATGAGACAAACTATCTTGCATGGATTTCTTAGTTTAAACCTATCCTGAAGAGTCACAACCTACTGGGCTTTATTGATGGCTCTTTATCTTGTCCTCCCATGTATGTTGATGACGCTACTAAGAAAAATGGGACAGTGAATCCAGCATATACTATTTGGCATAACCGTGATCAACTTTTACTGAGTTGGATCATCTCCTCTATCTCTCCTTCACTGGTGGCATCTCTTTATGGTCTGGATACATCCTACTTAGCATGACAGTCTCTTGCAGCTCGTTATGTATCCCAGTCCAAATCTCGAGTCTCAAACCTGAAGCGTCAATTGCAGAACCTACAACAGGGCTCTATGACCTGTGCTTCGTACCTCTCTGAAGCCAAGTCCTTGGCTGACCAACTCTCTGCTGTCGGGAATTCAGTAGATGACGATGATCTCATCTCATTCATCATGGGTGGCCTTCATTCCAATTACACCCAATTCATCACCTCCTACTCATTTCATACAAGAGATTCATCTATGTCCTTCTTTGATTTTAGGTCTGAGCTCTTGAATCATGAAATTTTATTTAATCGGCATATCCATGTTAATCCTACACTAGAAACTTCCACCTTTGCTCTTTACACCAATAAAACACGGCATCAACATGTGAGGCACAAGTTGCCATTTTCAGTCTCCTCAAGTGCCAACAATGCTAAGCCACATCATCGTCCTAAACCCTTAGCTTCTTCCATTCCCAAAGAAAGGTACTAATTCTTTCTCACAACCTGGTAGCCGCTCACCATGCCAGATTTGCAAGGGCACTAACCATCAGGCTCTGGATTGCTTTTGGCGTATGGATTTTTCTTACCGAGGCCGTCATCCTCCTACAGATTTGGCTGCTATGGTTGCTGATATTAATGCTGACTTCTTGAATACTCAGTGGCTTGCGGATAGTGGTGCTAATGCACATGTGCCACGCATTTTTATGTAACGTGGTTTAACCGCAAGTGTACGGTGTCAAGTTTTGTAATATAGTATTGAAGTAAGAGTGTCGAACCCACAGGGATTGTATTTAATTTTCACTAAGTACTATAATTATGCAATTTCTACTTTATTTAGATGAATGTATAATTAAATTGATGTTTTATGAATGAACGATTTAAACTAAACTAACGTGATTGGATGTGACATATTTGGGGAATACAAATTATCAAATTAGAAGGCCTAGGGATTGATTTCATCCAATGTTAAATTATGATTCAACGAATTCAAATTATTCCAATTAATTTTCTCATATTTAAAAGCAAGAATCATAATGTATTTCTAACCCCCTCTCTCGAGCACCGATTAGAAATTAATCCTAGATCCCAATTCTAACATCTCTGTTCAAAATTGAAAATCAAGAATTTAATAAAGGTCCGATTCTTTTATGGAGTAAGCTTCACAGATTTATACTTTCTCTCGAAACCTATAAATTCTATGTTATATCACTCTTATGATCACGCCTAAATTTCCACTCTCTCGAGCACCGAAATTGACTAGCATCAAATCATCCAATTGTTGATCAGGCAATTGAAAGTATTAAAATCATGATACAATTAAATATATGCAGGAAAATCAAAGAAATAATTATAAAATCATCAAACCATAATCTTGATTCGGCTATATCAAACCCTTAGATAAATTGTTTAATTCATGGTATAATAAATGAAAATCATACAAATTATAATAAACAACATAAGGGAAAAGATAGAAAAAACTAGTCTTTTGGGTAGATCTTCAATCTTCTTCCTTGATGGTGTTCCTCCTTTCTTTTGATATCTTCAA